CCGGCAGTGACAGCGAGGACCCGGGCCTGGCCGAGCCGCTGGCCAAGCGGCCCCGCCATGCGGCCGACCCTGCTTCCGGCCCCGACAGCGAGTACATCTTCTTCGAGTCGGCCGAGCCCGTGGCGCCTGTGGCTGGGCCTCCGACCGGGCCGGGCGCCGGCGCCGCTCGCGGCACCTTTCTCTGCCACTTTCGAGCCTCGGCACACTGCATCGGCCGGACGGGCCGGTTTCTGGACGACGTGTGCACGCACTTCGCCGAGCTACTGGCCGGCAGCCGGCCGCCGGCGGATCCGGCCGCCGGCCCATGCGCCCGGTGCCCGGACAATCCATCCCCCCCGGAGGCCCCCGGGCGATCGTCCGACACATCGGCCAGGCAGCCGGGCCAGGGCCGGCGGCCTTGTGCGTCTGCGCATGGGGCCGCCACCGGCCCGAGCACCGGGCCGGTGGGTCTCCTGGCCGAGCTCACCTTCGACCCGGCGCCGCCCGGGCAGCGCCATGTGTCCCTCTCGCGGCCCTGGTCACTGGCGTACGATCAGCACCGCACGGCGGCCCAAGCCATCGAGCTGCTGGCCCGCAGCCTTTCCGAGTGCGTGTGCCCTCTTTGTGCCTTGTCTCCCTCCCCCACCCCCGGCCCCGATGCCTCGCTGTGCGGGCGGCTGACCATGTCCTTCCGGCAGATTCGACGTCGACATGATGGGTGTCGTGCTACTGCCTCGCGAGGCGGATTATGCGGCGGCGGCGGCGGCAGCGACGGCGGCGGCAGCGACCGCCGAACCGCCGAGTGGGAGATCAGCCGCCGGCCCCGGCGGGTACATGTTTCTGGCGGTGCGCCTGGCGCCATGCCCAGCACCGCCCGGGTCGGCCGGCGCCTCGACCCAGCCCGTACGCCATCGCCATCCTTTCGAGCCCTCCCCTCCGGCGCCTGGCCTCTTTGTGCCATCCGCAGGATCTGCCCGCCTGCCGACCCACTCACCCTTCGCATGCGTCTCCCTCTGCCCGTCCCTCCCATCCGCTCGCCCGGCATGCCTCTCCCTCCCGCTCTCCCCCCCCCTCCTCCCCAGCTGGCGGCCATCATCCGCGAGAGTGACCGTCTGGCTGCCCGCTTCGGCCAGAAGCCCTTCTACCGGGTGCGTTGTTTGCCGGCTCCGCGGCCCCGGCCCCGCCGTTTCCACCTGCCGAATGAGCCGCGTGCCAGGCATCTCACCCACCCGATCCAGCCCCCGCTGTTTCACATCACCCTCGGCCGGGTGGCCTGGCCGGACAGCATCGACGCCTCGCCGGGGGCCGTGATGCTGGCGCTCGAGCCCCTCCGCGCCCGGTTGCAGGAGGCCCTGTTCGCGGCGCAGAGCGATGTCCCCGGTCTGCGGGTATCGCGCCTGCATTGGCGTGTGGCCGGCGAGAGCCGCGCCTTCCCCCTCCGGCGACCGAGGTAGCCCCTCCGCGCCCGGGCGGGCCCCCGCACCGGGGGGCGCTGCCGTGCGGCGCATGTCCGCCCTCCCTCCCCCCGCGTCCCGTCCCGGCGAGCCTTGGGCCACAAGAAAAATACACCCCCACAAGAGGCAGACACACGCGCCCGCGGCCGAGGGCCGCGAGAAAAAAAAAGAAACCCGAGCCAGCCCCAGGGGCCGAGGTGCGCGGGTGGCGCCCGTACGCCGGCATCCGCGCCCCGGCAGATGGCCGCGGCCATTCAAACCGTGGGAAGCCTAGCCCCGGGGGAGCGCCCCGGCGGCCATGGGTAGTCACATGTCCACCGGGTGGGCTGGCGCGCGGGCTGCTCCCGGGGGATCGTCGGCCGGGCGGGCGGGCCGGCGGCGGGCGGGCGCCCAAGGGTGGGCAGACTGGTCAGCGTGAGCGTTTCACTTGCCGCCGGCCAGGCGTCCCCATCGCCCCGCCCCTCCCTCGGGCCCCTCCTGCCTCCGGGGATCGGCCCCGCATCCAGGGGCGGCTGCCCGTGGTCCGCGGGGGGCTGATCCCCGCCGCAGCCGGCTCCTCTCGAGCGGGCTGCGGGAGGGCAGCCGGGGTGGTACTTCGGCCGGTGGCCTCCCACAGCAGGGCTCCAGCTGACAAGGGCACCCCCCTCTTCTCCCCCCTCTTCCGCCTCCTGCTTCGACATTTCATTTCCCCACTCCCCCTCGCTCCTCCTCTCTCTCTCTCCCTCTCCGCCCCCCTTCTCGTCCCCCCCCCCCTCCCCCCTCCCCCTGGCACATGGATAGGTCCGGCTTTGGCCTGCCCCCCGGGGGGGCGGAGTCCTCCCCGCTGCCGCCCCCCTCGCCCGAGGGCGACCCGGCGGCGTTGATTGTCACGGCGGCCGCCGACAGCGAGCACCCTGTGCCGGTGTGGCCGCCGCTGCTGCTCCTGCCGCCGGCCGAGGGGGAGCCCTTCCACGCGGTGGCCGAGGAGCCCGGGGTGTTCGGGCTCGGCATCTCCGACCGGGCGTCGGTGTCGCCTGCCGGGCCCGGGCCCGGTGCTCTCCTGGGGCATTCGCTGTCCTTCGCGCGGGAGCCCCCGCTCCTGGACCCCCCCCCGCACCCGGACCTCTTCCTGACCGAGCACTCGGTGGCCGACCAGTACCTGATGGACACCTTTTGCATGGTGCCGAGCCCGGCCAACCCGGACTCCGAGGCGGACTTCCCGGACTCCGGCGCGAGCGTCGACCTGGCCGAGCCCAGCAGCGGCTATGCCGGCTCGGAGGCCGGCACCCCGGCCGATGGCCACCCCAGCAGCCAGCATGGCGACCACGAGGAGGCCGACTACGAGGACAGCCACTCCGAGGGGCCGGAGGAGGACTCCGGCCCGGAGAGCGCCCCCGATGATGGGTCGCCCGCGGACGAGCAGCTTGACGAGGCCCACGAGGCGGACTCCCTCGCCTCGGAGTATGACGAGGGGTCCGCCTCCGGGGGGTACTCCTCGCCGGGGGTGGATTCCGACGCGATGGATCTGTCTGATGGGGGTCTGGACGCGGCCCAGGACTCCGACGAGGCCACCGAGGATGATGGCCCGGAGGAGTACGACGAGGAGGACATGGAGCATGACGACGGCGTGGAGTATGCCTCCGGCTCTGGCTCCGAGTCCGACGGCGTGGCGATGGCGCACGATGGCACTTCCTCGCCGATGGCGGTCTCCGACGGTGCGTTGCCCTGGTCTGCCTTCCTCTTCCGGCCTTCGCCCGCCCCTGGCTCCTGGTGCTGTAGCTGCTCGCGCTGACGTCTTGCCTCCCTGGCAGGTGAGGACGCGGGGATCCCCTCGCGCCACGTCGACCCGGCCATTCGCAGTCGCATGGCCGATGCTCTTGTGCTGAATATGGCCCTGGCCCGGACGCTGCGCGACCGGCTGCAGACGGTGCGCGCGTCGGCCGGGTGCCTGCGCCGGCGGTCGGCGCGACTGCGCCAGCGCGTGACCTACGCCCGGCAGGCCCTGCAAACGATAGACCTCATCGTGCGCGAGGCCCAGCAGCAGATGTCGGCCTTCAAGGCACAGGCGCCTGGCACAGGGGCTGGCGCCGGCTCCGATGGGCTGGTTTCTCCTGGGGGTCCGTCAGGCGCGGCGGTGCTGGTTCCGGTGCCACCCGGCCAGCCGGGCTTCGCCTTCCCCGTCGAGGCGCTTAGCTCCCTGGACCAGCTGGGCGTGGTCCTGGGCCCGGCCTGGCCGCCGGAGTTGGTGCCAATGGCCGATCCTTCCCCGGGCGGCCCCTTGTCCACGGCCTCCCTCGCTCTGAGCCACTACTTCTTCGACGCAGTCACCGGCGAGGCCCTGGGCAACCGGTCGACAAAGCGCGTGTCCTCTCTGCCGCCGCTCCGAAGTGCGTGCTCGGTGTTCTGTTTGGCGGTGTCTGTGCCTGCCTGGCCTTTCCCGTCTTCCTCTTCCTCCTCTGCTTCTTGCCTCGGCCTTCTCCGCCTAATCCTGTTGCTTGTCCCTCTGGCATCACCCTGCTCCTCCCCGCCCTCTCCCTCTCCTGCATTCGTAGTCTTTCGTCTCCTTTCACACCGGCTTCTGTCCAACGTCAACCGGGAGATCCGCTACCTTTACCACCGGGATTGCCTGAACCGGTGCGCTGACATGCCCTCTCGGCCCTCTTCACCGCATCCCGAGCTGCCATGCGCCGACTGACCACGGGTCCCCCTTCCCGCACAGGGCCAACATCCTGCAGCAGCAGCGGGCGCCACGCGAGGAGCTGGCCGCCGTGCGGGCCGAGCTCATTCGAGCTCCGCTAGCCTCGATCACCCGGTGCCTGGAAGCCCTCGGGGGCATCACCGCCGTGGCCAGGCAGCTGCCGTGGTCCAAAATTTCACATCAGGTGCGTGTCCCCCCCCCCCCCGCCCCCCTCTCCCTCTCTCTCTCTCTCTCTCTCCCTCTGCCTCTCTTCCCCTCTTCTCCATTATTCCCCTGCCTGCTTTGCGCTGGCCCCCGGCGGCCCCCCCCCCCTGCGGCCTGTCCCATCCCAAATGCCTTCGCTGACCTGGCCGAATGGCGGGCGAGAAGATGCGCATCTTTGTGCTGTCCTCCTTCGCGCGCAAGGCGCCCGAGGGCCTGACCCTGGACCCGGACTCCCTGCGCCGGGCCTGGCTCTTCGGCCTGGCGCCCGGGCTGCGCCATGACCGGGCCCAGCAGTCCCGCGCCCTGCACATGGTCCTCCTATCGGCCGGGCTCGGGGCCCGGGATGAGCACATCTCTTCGACCGCGTCGCCCGGGCCCGCGACCAGCAGCCCGGCCGATGGGGTCTCCACCGGGTCGGGCCCCGGGTCGCCGGAGATCGCCAACATTTCGGTCGACAACTCGGAGCCCTTCCTGCCGGGGGTGGACTGCTCGACCGTGGAGGAATGGCTCCCGCGCGAGACCTACCGCCTGGTGCAGATCGCCCGGCGGCTGGGCGGTCGGGGCTGGGTCCGGATTGCGGCCGAGCTGGGCACTGGCCGGCCGCCGTTGGTGTGGTGCGTGTAAGCCTGCTTCCGGTCTTTTGGCCTGCCGCGTGGCCGGTTGTGTCCCCTTCGCCGCCCTGTCCCTCCGGGTGGCCGCCTCGCTGACCAGGGCTCCCGACCTCTAGCCTGCGGCACTTTTCGCAAGTGGACCCGGAGGGCTTTAAGAAGGCGTCCCGTGCGCGAGGCACCTTGCTGGTCCCGATGGCCGACAAGCTGGCCGAGCAGCGCGAAATCCGGCAGCTTGTCCGGCGATTCTACCAAAGCCCCCTGTACCTGAAGGCCGGGCTCCTGCAATCGCGCCGCCGGCGCCTGGAGCTGGAGGCCCCGCCGGGGCCGGCCGAGCCGGCCGCCCCCCCGGCCAGCCAGCCGGCCAGTTCGGCCGCCGTCTCGCCACTGGCCCATGCTACGGCCACTTCGCCGCCGATGCCCGGCAGCCCGAGTGGTGCCGTGGTCCCGGGGGCCTGGTCCCCGGGGTCGGTGACGGCCGTCCTGCCGGCTCCGCCGCTGCCGGTGCTGCCGCAGTACGCGGGCTTCCCGCTGGGCGGGCTGTTTGACGGCTCGGAGGCGGGCGCCATGGATGGCGGCTCGAGGTCGCGGCCGGCCGAGAAGCTGTCGCTTGTGGTCCGGCACTTTGCCGACCGGCCGGGGTCGCGCCTGCACCGGGAGCGCCAGCGGCTCCAGCGCCGGGCCTGGCCCGAGGACTGGCTGGCCCTGCTGCGCGAGGCCCTGTCCCAGGAGCGGATGACTTTCTTCTCGGATGCGCTGCCCGGCACCATGTGCCAGTGGGACAGTGTGGCCAGCCGGGTGGCCGGGGGGTTGGCCGCGCGCGGGCTCCCGACGGCCGAGGTGACCGGGTCCGAGTGCCGGCGACAGGCGTTCCTGGCCGCGCGGCTGGCCCTGCTGACGGATCGAGCGGCGCCGGTGAGCGCGCGCGGCAGGGCGGCCGGCGGCCCGGGCGCGCGCAAGGCCTCGCGCGAGGCTGCCTGGGGCCCGGCCGAGGACTTCCGGCTGTATTGCCTCCTGCGCGCCGAGGCCGGGCGGAGCTTCCTCCGGTTCCAGGCCCAGGCCGGGGCGATGGACTCTGCGACCGCGGCGCAGCAGGCGCGTCTCCTGTGGCGGGTGTTCGGCCAGCACATAGATGCCCCGGCGGCCGACGGGTCTGCCGGGGCGGCGGCCGGTGCTCCGAATGAGCCGGGGGCCGCGGACGCCGGGCCGGCCGGGGGCCCCCCCGGTGCCGGTCCCAGCACCGGGCCCGGGGCCAGTGCCGAGTCGCCCTTCTGGCGGCTGCTGACGGGGGCCTTCCCCCAGTGGTCGGTGAAGTTCCTGCGCAAGCGCGTCCAGTGCATCTTCGAGTGGGAGCTGGACCTGTTTTCCATCTACCTGACGCCCGGGTCGACCGAGGAGTCGGGGGACGGGTCGCCGGAGGGGAGCGCCTCGCCGGTGCCCGCGTCGCCGACCAACACGGCGCCCGGCAGCCCGGGCGGCCCCAGCGATCGGGGCGGTTCCAGTCGCCCGGGGTCCGCGAGCGCCACGGCCGGCGGTCCGGGCGGCCTGCGCCTGCGTGTCGGCTTCTCCGATGAGTCACCGCTGGTGCGGCTGCGGTCGCTGGGCCCCGGGCTGCTGACCATGAGAGCCGCCCCGCCGGCCGCGAGCCCGGCGCCGGGGCCTCCCCCGGTGGACGGCCTGACCCGGACCTTCGGCCCGTCGCTCCTGTCCTTCTTTGATGCGCGGCGGGTGTACACGATGCAGCTACGCGATGCGCTGCTCTGCTCGGCGACCCTGGGGAACCTGGAGCTCCGAGTCGACAACATCGCCTGGTGGACTGGGTCTCTGCCGGAGTTCGGCGCCCTTGCCCGTCGGATATCCTCCTCCTCTTCCTCCTCCTCCTCTTCCTCTTCCTCCTCCTCTTCGTCCTCTTCCTCCTCCTCTTCCTCCTCCTCCTCCTCCTCTTCGTCCTCTTCGTCCTCCTCTTCTTCGTCCTCCTCTTCTTCGTCCTCCTCCTCAACCAGCGGCAGCCGTGAGAAGGCACCCCCTCCGAGCATTCCCTGCCCCGAGGCCTGGGTGCAGGCGGCCATGCCGGCCGAGCTTCGACCGGAGGGCGCGCCCGGCCGCCCGGAGGGCGACGCCCCGCCCTCCGAGCATCCGCCACTCCTGCTGGATCCCACGCGGCGGGTCCTCGGACGAGCGATGGCCGACAATTTCATGTGCCTGGACCCGGAGCGCACGGCCGCCAACGACTTCTGCTCTTGGCATCCGGAGCTTTCGCCGATGTCCGGGGCCCAGTGTCCTGGGGGCGCGGGCTGCCGCCCGGCGGAGGATCCCTCGGGAGAGGGCCCCCCTTCGGCCGATCCCTGTGGGCCCTTCACCGAGGGTGGTTTCTACTGTGCTCCCCTGCCGCCGAGCATCATCACCACCCAGTGGCTGGGGGACCTGTGCGCGGACATGGCGGAGTTTGGCCCGGCCGAGCTGGTGCCCCGGCCGAGCCCGGGCGGCGATCCCCGGACCCCGGGCGAGCGCCTGCTGGATGGGCTGTTCGACCCGCGCCACCATCCGGCCATGGCGGCGCCCCCCTACTCCAGCAACCCGGTGGTGCTCGAGACGGCGGCCATCGGCATGCGGGCCGATGCGACGCATCTGTTGCTGGAAGACCTGCCGGCCCTCAACTCGCTGGCCTTGTTGCCGGCCGACCGGACCGCGGCCCGGGTGCGCGCGCTCGCGGTCTGGGCATTGGGCCTGGCTGGCAGTCCGGATTTCCTGGCGGACCCGGGCGTGCCCTAGGGGAACCCTCCGGGAGGAGGGGAGGCGGCATGTGTCCCGTGTCCTGCGTGGCGTGCACTTCCCCCTGGCCGGTGTCCCGTGCCTCTCCTTGCCCAGCTGGCCACAGCAAAATACATGGTGTCCTTGTGAATGGTCGGGTCTTTCTTTTTTTTTTTTGTTCTTCTTGTACATTGTCGGGACGCCCGCCTCCCCCTCCGCGGGAGAGTTGCTTCGGTGTGGAGGCCCCGGCGGGGTTTCCATTTTCTTTCCTCTCCCAGGGGGGGGAGAGAGGTGCTCACGCGCGGTTGGCACCGGCGGCCGCAATTGAGGCCGGATCGTTCGGGTCGTCGAGGAGGCGCTTGCTGTTGGTGCATGCACGGAAGTGTGTGTGTGTGTGTGTGTGTGTGTGTGTGCATAGGGAAAGGATCGGGGTGGGGAGTCAGCAACACGGGGACGTCACACTGGTGGAAGGGCGTGGTGCAGGGGGCCCGGGGGAGGATGGCCGAGCCAGGTGCCCCAGACACGTACAGCCAACGCGGCGCGCCGACGAAGTCCCGGTGAATGATGGTCGGCAGGACGGCATCCAGGTAGTAGTAGAGATGGCCGACAGCAATGCCGAGGAGGTCTATGTGGTTGTGTGTGTGTGGGGGGGGGGATATGAGTACGCATGTTGCGCGACAGCCGGGGGCCGGGCGCAAGCCAGGATGAAAGAGGAGCGCCTGCATGGGACACGCACCGGCGATCGGCAGGGACTCGCGAAGAATCAGCGGAACAATGAGCAGCGCCCAGGGCAGCCACGGGGCGCGGATGGGCACGAGCCCGAGCACGGCCACCCGGACATCCGGGCTGCGCCGCGCCCACACATACACCAGGGAGAAGCTGAGCGCGGTGCCGAGGAAGAGCAGGCGCGTGAAGGGGGCCAGGATCTGGTCGGGCGCGGGGAGGGGGGGGGGAGGGATTCTTCAGGCGTGAGACAGCGCCGGGATGATGGTCAGCGGTTGGGGGCGACGAGCGGGGCGTGGCGCACGGTCAGGGCGGCCGCTTCGAGGATCAGCATCCACACGAAGTCGGCACGTCTCCCACGGAAGTGCCCGGTCTCCAGCAGCCAGCTATAGTGAATTCTGCGGGCGACAAAGCATATGTATACATGTGTGTGTGTGTGTGTGGGGGGGGGGGGGGCGGGGGAGGATCGTCAGTCAGGCGCATGGGCGGAAAGGCACGGGCGGTCGTCCCCACCGGCCGGCGGGCCTCACGCACAGGAAGTAGATTCGAAAGACAAACTCCATGCCGAGCATGCCGAAGAAAAGCTGGTTGGTGACAAGGCGCCAGTACTGTGGTGGGGCGTGTGAATGGCGAGCGGGGCAGGGTGGCGGGGGGCGCCGAGCGGGGGGTAATTAGCGGCGGTTGGGAGCGGCGCGCCGCCTGGGGAGCATCCGGAGCATGTGCACGCACCTCATGCGCCTTGAACACCAGGCCCAGGTTGAGGTACAGCTGGAGCGGCCGTAGGAGGCCGATGTGCTGCGGGGGCCGGGCGGCGGGCGGATCCGATCGGGCGGAGGCGTCAGCATGGGGGGCAAGTACGGCAAAAGGGGGCGCGGCGCCAGAGGCAGCCCCCGGCGGACGGTCGGACGCACGCAGGCCAGGGTTGTGCCGACCGCCAGTGTGGCATAGGTCCGGGTGACCAGGGGCATGGACCGGTACCACTGGTCGATGGCGGCCATGGTGGAGGCGGGCGAGGGGGGGGGGGAGGGGAGGGCGGTGCCGAGCGGCTGAGTCTGGCAGGGCGCGCAGGCGAGGGGCAGATGCAGGGAGTCGAGCGGAGGGCGAGGACAGCGGGAGCCAGAGGCCGAGGGAGGGGGGAGGGTGTGTGTGTGTGTGTGTGTGCGTGTGCCAGATGTCCCGCAGGCCGGCGGGCCTGCCCGAGATAAGCCTCCCCCGACCCCCGATCGGTCTACGGGCGCCGGACGCGCACCCCCGCCGCGTCCCCTTCTTGGTCCTTCGCGAAAAAAGGCTGGCCCCGCCCGGGCCGTGTGTGTGTGTGTGTGCGTGTGCGCCCTTGCTCAACACGGCCGGACACCATCGCGCCAGCCCCGCTCTTGTCCCGGCGGCGGCGGGGGACGGCGTGCGTGCCCCCCCCAGACAGCGGCGGCCCGGGGCCCCCGCCAGCCGGGGGCATGTTCAGAGAGGAGCGCCAGCCGCGCGAAGGGTCCCCCCCCCCCCCGTCCGTCCAGCGATGCCAGTCGAGGTCCTTCTAGTCGCCGTAGTCGTCCGGGCCAATCCCGGACGCCGACCCGTGACACCCATCACGCCGAGATCACGCCCGCCCCCGGCGCGCCGGGATGAAATGCCCCCCTCTTCCTGCGCGCCGCGGCACCGGGGGACCATCTGGCGGCTGGTGCCAACTGAGGCGAGACTGAAATTCTTCCCCATGCCGGCCTGGTCCGGCAGATGGGGCGTGTCCCCCCCCCCCCCCCCCTGGCGTCGGCCCCCGAGCTTTCTCCCCTCCTGGCGCCGGGCTGACCCGAGGGGGAACAGGACGGCCCCGGGCGGAGCGCGGGGGGGGGGGCGGGGGGGGATGCGCACCGGCCCGGGTCGGTGCCGCCGGTCGAGGGGGACCGAGTCGGCGCGATGGGCCGCGGCGACATATTGGCTGGTTGTTATTGTTTCCGCCCTCCCCGCGCGTTGATGAAGGGGGAGCCGTTAGTGGGGACACGCGCCCCTGATCGTCGTGGCGGGCCGGGGC